GGGAAAAGCTCAAGGGCCAGATTCAGGTGCTCTGAGGGCCACATTTGATCCCTGAAACCGAACTTCCCTACCCCAGGCCAAATGTACAATCAGCATCATGTTAAATCAAGCATCTGCTTCTTCCAGCAGCCTAAAGAATGCAATGGCCTTAATTTGCAAAACATTGGCTAGGAAACCCAGCTATTTAGTCAGCAGTGACAAAGCTGTCTGTAAATAGAAGGCCTGTCCATAGCCAGGTCCCCCCTGGAATGAGCTGCCCGACCATGGCATTTTAAAGTGCAGCAGAGAAAATGGTTTATGGCTGTGTGTTTACGAGGTGGGGTGGGGGGAGAGAGATGAGCCACTCAGCAAAAAGATTAAGGCTGTTGTGCCAGAGCTGTGACAGGGAGCCTTATCGCGGGTAGGGTTTTTATTAGCCATGCCTTGTGATTTATAGAGATCTTGTTTCTAAGAATAATAGCTAATAATTTCTTTGGAACCAGTGATCATTGTTTGTATCCCTAGTTGAGCAAACACACTCCTCCACAATGGTAGGAAAGAGTCAGAAATTCTCAAGAGAGAGGCAGGGAGGGGGGAAAACAGGGGAGAAAGAGAGGCTATTAACTGAACATCTGTAAGCTTATCCTCAGAGGGACAGAGCTGAGGAAAATGTAGGCCCCACTCTCTGTGTGTGCATGTGTGTGAGATACACACACAAACACACACACACACAGTGGTACCTTGGGTTACAGACGCTTCAGGTTACAGACACTTCAGGTTACAGACTCCGCTAACCCAGAAATAGTACCTCAGGTTAAGAACTTTGCTTCAGGTTAAGAACAGTTTCAGGTTAAGAACAGACCTCCAGAACGAATTAAGTTCTTAACTCGAGGTACCATTGTATAAGGTGGGGGACAGCGATGTGCTCAGCATTGTAATTATGTGACAGTTTAATATGTAGAATTCATTATGCTGCTCATGTATTAAGGCACCAGAAGCCTGCAGCCAAGGAACTGTCTGGTTAGTTCAATTCAATATTCAGCCCCTTCCCACACTACATTGCTTGGCCCTTGCTGCCCCCTTAGGGTTGCTGGTTCATAAAGCTGCAGCGATGAAGGGAGACGCAGCCATCAAAGTTCCCTCTTTTGCAGTCCCTTGTGAATTTCATATTCCCATGCCTCCCTGACCCATACCCTCCGGTTTCCCTTCTCTTTCAGATTTCTCTTCCTATGCTTGACGGGAAGTTTCAGGCCCAGCTCTGCTATGTCCTTGGGTCATCCGTTGTTTCCCCTGGTCCCTGCTTTTCAGCCCGCTGTCTCCTTTTCGTCCCTCTTCCCAGAGTCAAGCTGCCTCTTGACCAGCCTACTATTCCTGGTCCCATCCCCTGACAAAAAACCCCACCCTCATTGCGCATCTGTGCAGTGCCTTGGAAGTCTCTTACCTCCTTAGCTCTTTCCTGTTTCAGTTTCCTTTCGGCTCTGCCCAAACTCAAATTTCCTTCTCTCCCAGCTGCCCAACAATCCTCAGGAATGCAAAAGGCTGCTTTATACTGAGCTAGACCATGAGCCCATGTAACTCAGTGTTGTCTGCACTGACTGGCAATGGCTCTCCACTGGGTATCAGACAGAGGGCACTCCCAGCCTACCGGGAAATAGAAATAGATAGCAATACAGTGGTACCTCTAGATGCGAGCGGGATCCGTTCCGGAGCCCCGTTCGCATCTAGAAGCAAACGTAACCCGTGTCTGCACGTGTGCGGGTCACGTTTCGGAGCTTCTGCGCATGCGCGTGATGTCATTTTGAGCGTCTGCGCATGCGCAAGCGGCGAAACCCGGAAGTGAAGCGCTCCGTTACTTCCAGGTCGCCACAGAGCGCAATTCTAACGCGCTCAACCTGAAGCACATTCAACCCGAGGTATGACTGTACTTTATTGTCACTGTACCATTTGTTTACGGTGTGATTAAATGAGCCCTCCTTCCCCACCCACAATCTCTCACTCCTTGTTACACTCTGTGTGCTGTCGTACGACCACCAACCCCGAACGTCAGCTGCAATGTTGTTGTTTTCCATTCAGATGGCAAAGGTCTGAACCAGGCCTTTGGTCAGGGCACAGCCTGACTCCCTCCTTTGGCAATCTTCACAGAACTTTAGTCTAATGGTTGCCATCAATTTGAGTTGAATTAATTTTAATGAAATGATTTTAAAATGTTGTATTATTTTATTGTTGTTAGCCGCCCTGAGCCCGGCTTCGGCTGGGGAGGGCGGGATATAAATAAAATTTATTATTATTATTATTATTATTATTATTATTATTATTATTATTAAGATTGAACCTGGGATCCTCTGCATGCAAGGCAGATGCTGTCTCACTGAGCCATAACCCTTGCCTTCTGCTGTTGGCGTTGCCACTTCCCGCCCACCAAGGACCCTGCAATCCCCAAGCTGGTCTTGATAATGGTACCCAGCACCTCACTGCGTCCACCCCTTTTGTATCAGAGGGTTTTCTCACTGAAGCAGTGGTGTAGCGTGGGTTGGCACAGGGGCGGTTGCCCCGGGTACAAAATTGTTTGGGGTGCAAAATTTCAACACCTGGTGCTGTCTCAATACAGCTGCGCACTTCCGTCGCTGGACTCCATTCAAAATGGCTTCTCCATGCAAACCAGGAAGTGACCTCTCCAGACAACAGAATGACTCTTATTTTCTTACCTCTGCAGCTGCAATCTCCTGAGTGATGTGGTCGGTAGCTGAATGCTCATGCTTACTCTGTCCATTTCCCACCTTCCCACCCACCCTGCTCTGTGTGGCCCTGGGCACTGGTAACCCATGCTATGCCACTGCATTGAAGTGCCAGCGTAATAAGCATTGTGATGGCAATTACAGTGGTGCCTCGCAAGACGAAATTAATTCGTTCCGCGAGTTTTTTCATCCAGCGAATTTTTCATCTTGCGAAGCACGAAATCCCATAGGAATGCATTGAAATTCAATTAATGTGTTCCTATGGTCAAAAAAAGTCCAAACAAAGCCAAATTTGGTACAACAAGAGTTTATTAAGTGCTCTTTAAAGTCACACATACTGTAAAGAGCATTTCAAAAATTGAAGGAACAATAAATTAAGTTTCTAAACATGACAGAAAAACATTTAAAAATCAACAAAGTGTACAGTACATTTTCTAAGACTCTGGGGGACAACTCGAAGAAGGTTCCTCTTCCACTCTTTGCTTCTTGCTGAAGAACCCCCTCCTCAACTGTTCCCCGAGCCACCCACCACACAGAAATTCAAATCCAGATTTTTTTTAAAAAACAGCAGAGTGGCCCAATGGTCACAGAAAATCATAAAAATTCAGAAAAAAACCACACAAGCTTCCAGATTCTTGCAAACCCCTCCTCAACTGTTCCCCCAGCCACCCACCACACAGAAATTCAAATCCAGAAATTTTTTTAAAAAAACAGCAGAGTGGCCCAATGGTCACAGAAAATCATAAAAATGCAGGGGAAAAAACACACAAGCTTCCAGATTCTTGCAAACCCCTCCCCAGCACCAAGTCCTTGAATTCCAAACACCCCAACCCAAAATCCAAAAAACCCCCAAAAAGTGTTAAAAGTTTAACTACTTTTAGTAGTCAAGTCGAAGTCAAGTCGCAACTGTATTAACGGTGTTAAGAAAAAGGAAACAAACTTGCAAGACGTTTTCGTTTTTCGTCTTGCGAAGCAAGCCCATAGGGAAATTCGTCTTGCGAAGCAGCTCAAAAAACGGAAAACCCTTTCGTCTAGTGAGTTTTCCGTCTTGCGAGGCATTCGTCTTGCAGGGCACCACTGTACTACGTATTTGTTGATGGTGTAATATTTTGATGGGCTTTCTGCTTTAAAAAAATAGAGTTGCCTCTTAATATAGCTTTGAAATACTTTTTAAAAAAAAGATTATGAAGTCCATAACTGGTGGGCATATAGTTTCAGAATATCAAAAAGAACATGGTGTGCCTTGCAGCAAGAACTAGCTGTCAGCTAGCTCTAAACCTTTGTGTGAGTGCCATTGCCCTCAGCTCAGGAAATTGTGGTGCTTGAAGCAACTCTTGGCTGGTTTTTGTAAGTGGCTCTTACAGCACAGTCCTAAGCCTGCTTGATTAGACTAGTAAGTATTTTTAGGACTGCAGCTTTACTGGTTCTTGATAACTACTGTTGCTTTTAGCTAGGTCTAGATCTGGTGAGAGATAGCGAGAGACAGGCTTGTATAACAGAGGGCACCATCTTATGCAAATTCTGGATGAATTCTATGTAAGAGGAAGTGGTAGGTGGAGAATCTATTCACCTTCTTGATTTATTACTGCACATATCAACTGTGTGAATCGTTGGGTAACTTTTGATCAATCACAAGACACTGCCATGCTAACCTTTCTCACAGATTTGCTATGAGGACAAAGGTCATAAGAATGGCAATGTTTTCTACATGCTGAAAAACGAGGCAGAAACCATAAGTGATTTCCAGAGGGGTAGCTCTGTTAGGTGGGCAGTGAGAGGAGTGTGTGTGTGTGTGTGTGTGAAAGATGAGCAATTGCAAGTCCCTTTTCAGGTCTCTGTCTGACTACTGCCGTTCTCTCTGGGAGGAAGAAGGGGGAAAAAGAATACCCCTTGAGCAATTTAAAACTTTCCAGACAATGCTTGTTACACAATGGTCTATTAAACACATCACAGCTGAGCTTCTGTTAGTGACTCATCCTGGCAATAGATAGACAGTCTGGCAGAGCCATTGAGCAGATGGAAGCTTAAGAGGAGGAGGAACTTCATCAGAGATAAGGAACCTTTGGCCTTCCAGATGTTGATAGAATTGTATAGTTGGAAAGGGACCCTGAGGATCATCTAGCCCAGTGTTTCCCAAACACGGGTCTCCAGCTGTTCTTGGACTACAATTCCCATCATCCCTGACCACTGGTTTTGCTAGCAAAGGATGATGGGAGTTGCAATCCAAAAGCAGTTGGAGAACCAAGTTTGATCTAGTCCAACCCTTGCCATGCAGGAATATGCAGCTGTCCCATATGGGGATCAAACCTGTGACCTTACTGTTATCAGCACCACGCTGTAACCGACTGAGCTATGCGGTTGGACAACAACTTCCATCGCCTCGACTGATAGCTTTGCTGGCTGAGCCTTATGAAAGTTGGAGTTCGGCAACATCTGCAGAGCCACAGGTTCCCCATCCCTGAACTAACACCCCCTTCACATCTGCTTCTTTTCATTTTGTATATTTTTAATGGCAAACTGGGCCAACTCACGGCAAAACCAAGTCCCAAATGCCCCTCCCTTTCTCTTTATGTTGCAGCCAGCCCAACATGCTTTCCTTGGCAGGGTAAACCTTTCATGATTATGATCACCAGGCACCCGCAATGCAGACACAGCGGTGGCCTTAACACATCTTGTTTGCCTGCTGAGACATGGAGCTCGGCCGAGATTCATTTAGGAATTATAGGCACAATGACAACAATCCTTAGCACTGAATATTTGGAGTGGGTGCTGTGCCCCGCTGTGGGAGGCTGTGGTGGTAGCACTCCTGCTTCTGGAGAATTGCCAAAGCGACACAGATTAAAACAAAACACGGTGTTCTGCTACTCTTTAGAAACACAAAGGTATTCGGGCTCCTGCTTTGTGATGTAGTGACAAGATGGCATAGCAGCATAAAAAAGAAAGTAAATAATGAGCTTTTTAAATATGAGGAGCTTGCATATTTGATTGTGGGGTGGGTGGGTGAAGTTTGAAAGTTTCACTTTGGAGAAGCACAGAAACAGGAAGCACAAGGCATTCACACTTCCTGTTGTCCTCAGCAGGTAGAGCGGCTGGATGCAGGGATGGAGGAAGGGGGGTGCGGTGGGGCGGGTTGTCGCGGGTGTCACCACTGAGGGGGGTGACAAAATGCCAAGCGGCACTCACATCTCTCCTGGGAGTGACGCGGTGGCTTGGGTGCCTGCAGGCTCCACGCTGCCCCAAACGGTCTGCCCACCACCTCCCCCTCAGCATCCTGCCCCAGCTCGCCCCACCCCCATGGGCAGCTGGCCCCACCCCCAGGCACAGCGCTCACATGCCGCCCCGGCCCCTGATTGGTTTGCTCCACCACAGGCTGGATGAAGGGCTCCTGCACCATTACTAGTTGCGTAGAAGAAGGCATGTTGACAGAACTATTAAACAACACAGGGGCCTTGTCCTCTCTTTCACCTGTCTTCCTTAGGCTGGTGCCAGGTCTGATAGACCAGTTCCCCACCCCATGCCCAGCAAAGTGCCCCTTCTGGGATCCTCTTTGCACTAAGGGGATCCCCTCCACAGTAGTGCTGGGCGATATATCGATATATCATCCAAAACCATTTCAAAGTCCATATCATGGTATCAGTTTCATGGTTTTTGACATGACAATAGATCACGAATCATGATGTGTGTTTGTGTGTATGTGTGCTATGCAAAAATCACAATGCGGGGAAAACCGTGAAGCCAACCAATGCTCTCCATAGTTCCATCCTTATTTCAGACATCATAGTATATCGGTATATTGCGATGTTTAAAAGGTAAAGGACCCCTGACAGATAAGTCAAGTCATGGGCGACTCTGGGGTTGCAGCGCTCATCTCGCTTTACTGGCTGAGAGAGCCGGCGTTTGTCCGCAGACAGTTTTTCTGGGTCATGTGGCCAGCATGACTAAGCCGCTTCTGGCAAAACCAGAGCAGCGCACAGAAATGCCGTTTAGCTTCCCACCGGAGCGGTACCTATTTATCTACTTGCACTTTGACATGCTTTCGAACTGTTAGGTTGGCAGGAGCAGGGACCGAGCAACGGGAGCTCACCCCGTTGCGGGGATTCGAACCGCCCACCTTCTGATCGGCAAGCCCTAGGCTTAGTGGTTTAGACCACGGCGCCACCCAAAAACCAGATATCGCCCAGTCCTACCAGGCAAGGTTTATTGCAGTGGCAGTTTGTGGCAGTGGTGCTGGAATCCAATGGATTGTGGGAACTTTAAAGAAGTGGTTGATAGCTGCCCACTGCTGCCACTCGTCCCGTCCTGGTGGTGGAAAGGAGGGCCAGCTGAATGCAGGCAGCAGCACCAGAGTTGTTTCCACTTGGGCTGCTGCAGCTGTGTCTGCTTTCCCTACTGCATCCAAAGCGTGCTCTCAGCGGATGTTTTCTCACTTTCCCTAGCAATAGGTGTGTTATGTTTGCTACCTGGGAAGGGACTTGTTCTTCACACACACATTGCACATCCATTGTTGTCGCTGTTACTGTTAATCATAGAAAAGTGGGTTGTCCTGGCATACTGTGCCGATCAAATGTTCTGAAATGAACTGCAGCATGGGAAAAGCTGGGCATGATCAGCCAGCCTTTCAGACTAATTAAGACCGAAATGTGCTTCACTTTGGCTGGATCATACTCAAAAAAGAAACCGGAGCCACAGCAGTCGCCAGCATCCAGTTCTCCACTCTGCCGACCCTCCCAAATCGTTAAGCGTGCTAGAAGTTAGAATTATGGTTGCAGAAATAAAAATAGCACGACATGCCCGCAGCAAAGCTGTGAATAAATGATGACACTGTACAAAGAAAAGGTCCTTTTCAAGTCCATATTATATGAGAGATGCCTGGGACACAATCTTCCTACTCAGAAATTGCAAATAAACCCTGTCCTCATGCCCACAGTGTGTCTACTCCTGGGAGCCCGAGCAACTAAGGTCACATAAACAAGACCCACTCTTTCTTTCCTACAGTGTAGCTTCATTGTGGAATACGGATGGGCCACATAAAGATGAATTGTCACTTGGCTTTTTCTTTCTGGCTCTTGCATTTACATCTTGTAGAATGTACAACTATATGCCTGTCTCCACTGACTGATTGGGCAAGGGGGCGGGGATGGCGTTATGGAGATTTTTTTAAAAAATGGAAATTGAGGATGAAATGGCATGTTATAACATAACCCTTGGTTTCTGCTGGAAACAGCAACCCCATCTCTCCATGCACCTCTGTAACCTCTAGCATAATGATCACCTTATGTTCTGACATCATTAATTATTTCCCTGCTGGTGGGAAGTGGGGGCGGGGAGGAGGCAGTTCAATGCACTAATGCCAGAATATGGTTATTTAGCTATTCAATTCCTGGCAGTTTAAAAAGGGATTGTGTACCACATATTGGGAACAACCTGCCCCTGAGAGCCTAAAGACTTGCTGCCTGTCAGTGTAGACCAGGGGTTGGCAACTTAAGGCCCATGGGCCACAAGCGACCCATGGGGGTTGTTTAACCAGCCCATGGACCCCTGCCGCCCGCTTGGTTGGCTCCAGTGCGCTTCACTATAGCAGCGTGGGGACCGCCTTCTGTGACACTGGCCGGCTTCTCATTGGCTGCAGGAAGCTCCTGCAGCCAATGGGAAGCTGCGCACGCCTCCTCTGCACTGGAAGGAAGCACCAGAAATAGCCTTTGTGCATGTGTGCATGCGTGTGTGTGTGCACGCACTCCAGCCCACTGTGATGTCTGTGGGACCGTGAACCAGCCCAAGCCACAAAAACTTTGCTGACCCCTGGCGTAGACAATACTGGGGTAGATGGAGAAATAAATGGACATGGTTAAAAATAAATTGAAAGAGCTTACTTCTCTTTCTTCCCATTTGGGTTCATTTCTCTTCCCTTTTTGTGCACACGCTGCCCTCCCTCTTTAGCACTCATTTGCCTCTTCTGGTTCCCCAGCTCTTCTTTCTAGCCGCGGGCATTCACCTAGCCTCATACGCCGCACATTTTGCCCAGGGAAATGCTTCTTTCAACTAATGCAGCACTCGACACATCATTTGAAATTGGCCTTCCACCCACCATGCTGGCTGGGGATGATGGCGATTGGTAGTCCAGCAATATATGAGGATGCAAGGTTGCAGGTGGCTCCTGTAGACGAAGGGATGCTCCTCAAGGGGAGCCTGGGGTGCAGGTGAGGAGCAGCCCTGGTGGTCCTGGCAGCTCATACATCAGTACTCCTGGTGCTTAACAACCTGATTCTCACAGCTGCTCCATACAAGAGGAATTCCCTGGACAGAATTGACTTCCATGTACAAAATGAGACTGGCAGTAGCAGTATAGGTGTGGCTATAAAGCCCATTAAGAGGCACTGGAATGCTTATGTTATGTAGTGGATTTTCATTAAACGTTCTCCAAGTCCCTTCTTTGTGGGTGGCTCATAGGGTGAGGAAGAGGGCCTCCCCCCCTCCATTGTAGCTCCCTATTTGTGGAAGGCTCTCCCCATCGACATCTGCCTGGTACCTTCACTGAGATCTAGCCACGAGCAAAAGTGTGCCTTTCCCCCCAGGCTTTTACATTTTATTTTATTTTATTACATTCATATCCTACCTTGAGACCTTTGTGTAAGAAGCGGCTAACAAGACATATAACAACCATAACAAACTAGGATGGCAACTTGCATGCTCAAAGTGAGCTCTCTAACTTCACACCTTTAAAAGTTGGAATTTGCAGCATGAGATCCTATCATGCTTTCTCTGACCATCACAGTTCAAAGCAGCAATTTGGCCCCTCTATGGGAATCACCCCTCTCAGTGATCTTTTTGTTTGTTTGAGGTTGACAGATTTAGACATACATTAATTGGGTTAATTTTTATTCCATTGTGTTCCTCCACCCACCCTTAACCTCATAATTCTTAATACATGACTCCTATTCAAATCATATGACTTAATGCAAAGTTCACCTGAAAAGAACAGCTTATCAATGTGTTATGATAAGCATGTATGGCATTAGACACAAATTTAGGATACAATTGGCCTATAAGAGAAGATATCCTTCTTCAGGCACACCCGTCTATCATTGTGTGGTTTGGCTTTCATTTCATTTATGCCTAGCTGACTTCTTACATCACCAGGGTGTTTGAACACTCAGGAAACGCAGAAAGAATTGTTCACCATGAGCAATTTCTCCTCATGGAGAACAAATTGTTCTCCCTATATACTTCATCCAGTCTTTTATGCCGCTTAAACATCCACCTAAAGGAATTTAGGTCCAGCTCCAAGGCCTTCTGGCGGTTCCCTCATTGCAATAAGTGAGGTTACAGGGAACGAGGCAGAGGGCCTTCTCGGTAGTAGTGCCCAC